TGGTATTTGGACTTGAAGTTGTAGAACTTGGAGTGGAATGTGTGGTATTTGGACTTGAAGGCGTAGAACTTGGAGTGGAATGTGTGGTATGTGGACTTGAAGTCGTAGAACTTGGAGAAGTTTGTGTGGTATTTGGACTTGAAGTCGTAGAACTTGGAGAGGAATGTGCGTTATTTGGACTTGAAGTCGTAGAACTTGGAGTGGAATGTGTGGTATGTGGACTTGAAGTCGTAGAACTTGGAGTGGAATGTGTGGTATGTGGACTTGAAGTCGTAGAACTTGGAGTGGAATGTGTGGTATGTGGACTTGAAGTCGTAGAACTTGGAGAAGTTTGTGTGGTATTTGGACTTGAAGTCGTAGAACTTGGAGAGGAATGTGCGTTATTTGGACTTGAAGTCGTAGAACTTGGAGTGGAATGTGTGGTATTTGGACTTGAAGTCGTAGAACTTGGAGAGGAATGTGCGTTATTTGGACTTGAAGTCGTAGAACTTGGAGTGGAATGTGTGGTATTTGGACTTGAAGTCGTAGAACTTGGAGAGGAATGTGCGTTATTTGGACTTGAAGTCGTAGAACTTGGAGTGGAATGTGTGGTATGTGGACTTGAAGTTGTAGAACTTGGAATGGAATGTGTGGTATTTGGATTTGATGGAGAAGATATTACATAATGTATCAACAAACAAACCTGAAACACACAAAGAGAAGAATACACAAATTGAGTACTTAAGGCAAGTTTATTGTATCTATATTTTTATATCATTTCAATGAATACTTGTGTATTATGTAATTTTTTGGATGAAATACATCAATGACTTTTTAACAACAATTACTACATCTATTTTTTGTTAAATCATTGACCTCTACATGATTCTTCCTTGACTCAATGAAAATACATGTGTACATAATCATTACAATATATGTGGGGACATTTAGAGGCTCACACAGAAAGTGCGAGACATGTGGACTTATACTTTTTTGTTTTTCAACTATGTCCCCTTACAACACAACATCACTAAATTCCAGTTGGTAGAACTCAACATCTTGATCATGTAACCTGCCCTCCATGGTAATGCACAGCTTATCATCATTCTCAAATCTCTGACCCGATGGTGGTTTTCTTCTTTAGTTTGGGGTGAGAGGTTGGAATCCCTGATGTCTAGGTCTCCATAATAGGATGAGTGAGGAAGGTTTTTATAGCAAAACTGAAGCAGTCAGCTGGTGTTGACTAGCACTATCTGGTGAGGAAGAATCAGGCAACAGATTTTCCATGGTTGGGCACACTAGATTAGTCGGTTAGCATCATACTCTCCAACTGGCTGGTAATCAATGTGAATCACTCCTTTTACTGTCCCAAAATACGTCGCCATAACCTTCTTGATAGATCTGGTGGCTTTGAACTTATTTGTCCTTTAAGAGGTGGCATATTTCCATTTTATTGATTAATTTCTGTTTACTCTTAATCAGAATTACAAAGCAAGGTTTTGTCAGAGGTTACAAACTTAAATAAAAGTAATATGGGTTGATGGTGTACTGCATTAGCAAGGATCCACTGTTGGTGACCTTCAATGGCTTCATGCCATTACTTCTTGGAACCTATCTTGCACCTACTTTGACTATATGTAGTTTGTCATGAAGTATGTCATGTGTGGATCTATATGAAAGGCCAGTTGCTTCTACTAATTCGTAAAGAGTGATTCAGTTGTTTCCATCGCTAGTTTGTCCACAGTGTCAGTGTTTTCAAAACTGGTTGATGGCCGTCCTCACCAAGAATCATCTCATAAACTCTCTCTCCCACACTAGAATTCCTTCACCCAGGGTTTAATTGATGCAGAAGAAGGGAAGATGCAGTCATTTGCTCTTAAACATTGACTGTGCAGGATTAGATACATTTCATCATCCTATTCTTCATGAAATCAGTACCTAGGACACCGATGTATGTATGCTGTGGTGTGTGTACCGTCTTACAAGAAAGTAATATGCAAAGTTCAAAGTTTTTTTTTTATATCCCCTTGTATGTTTAAAATCCTTGATTTCTAAGAAGTTTGGTTTCCGTGAAAAACCTGTCATCTTTTTTGTTTTCTACAAGAATTGCTCCAAATCTTAGATAAGGATTTGTGTAATATGGACATGTTGGTATAAATACTTACCATTAGGTGACGGAGTAACCACTGTAGGTGTCCCATGATGTACAGCTACAGGCTACCAGCTACAAAAGCTTTAAAAGATTAGAAATCTAGAATGTCGGTGTTAATAGTGTGTTAGAATTTTAAGAAATATGAAAAAAAATTTTCAGAAGTAAACTAACACCTAATTTGAGCCAACAGAAAAGTCATGAAAGGGATTATGGTTATTAGGTATGGATTATCATTCTGTAAATACCATACATGCTGGTCTAATGTGACAGCGGTTCTTTCATAAAAGGGTTTCTAGTGAGAATGTAAAGCCCATTCCAGCAACTTATTAAGTACATATATAGATTGTCTCAAACATTGTACACACTTGTATTTGATGTATTGTTTTTCTTTTGTTTATCTAAAATATTCTACAGTACAACACATGACTCTGACTCAAAGTTAAGAGGTGGGCTTATTACAGGACCTTAAAGCCGTATCTGTTAGTGATAATATTGAACTGTTATAGGCATGGGTTATTATTAGGGTTAGACTTATTGTTATATAAATATGACAACTTTCTGGAAATTTAGACTGGTAATTTTGACATCCTATCAACTACATCAATACATTTAAGATAATTAATGAATAAAGTTTTAATGATTATCAATGTACCATGGAATCTGTTACTGGGGACTGAATGTTAACAATGTATGACATAAAGGTTACCTACAAACACACTTTTCTAGTTCATTTACTTAAATTAGATATTTTCAACATTGAATATGGAATACCACCAATATCTGTTCATGCCTGATACCTTAAAAAATATTCAATTGGCTGTGGGTATCATTATGCCATACATGTATGTCAGCATCAATGGACAAACCACCAGAAAAGATTTTTGTGAAAATCATTCTAAATTGCATGAAAATTGTTGGAGATTTTAATACTTGGGTAAATTAATGAAATATTTGTGAGGGATTTAATTTCACTGTATTCGTGGTCATTGAAGAAAGTACGAAATACCCAGCTAACAGTCTAAAACAAATAAAATTATCTGAAAATGTATGTCGATGTGTATGTTTATGTGAATACTGATGTATAGTTATGCCTAAATTGAATGCCCATGAACTAGTTCAAACTGGATCCACTGCAAAATACCAGCCCTGTGAAATACTGAACATACTGCACAACAATGGTTTACTTATACCTACCTTATATGTACGTTTGTTGTAACACTACCACATGTGATGGTAGATGTTTGGAGTATAGTCGGAATATTTCCTTACGGAGTACCTGTGTAACTTGTCCTGACAGAATCACATGTCCATGTCTTCATCCATTGTCATGATAAGATGTACTGTACTTGGCTCATAAATCACTATTGATAATTGTTTTAACTGCTGTGAGCAAAGTCCCAGTCACACCTGACACAAGCATTGTTATCTCACACCAAAATCTTTCTATATGACTTTCCCAGTTATTAAAATTCAAATTACAAAATTAACATAATTGATAAAACAGAGACTCAAATGATGTTGAAATGGTGTAAATTTAGAAAAATAAAAAATAAAAAAATCAGTGTCATAATTGTGTGGAAAATAACAAAAAGTCAATTTAATTTAGATACGGCAGATGTTTACCAATAATCTAACAATGTTGAGATAACTGAGGGTCAGAGATACAGGCAGAGTATGCTGAAATGATAACAGCTGTGATAAACCGGTACACCCCACAGCTACACATATGTATACATGTAGCTCTTTGCATACTTGTAATAATTGACTAATCATATATCTAGTATAAACCAAATTTTTGGAGTATACTATTTCAAAGTGTAGTACTACTAATGTAACTAACTGTGAGATCTGATTTCAGTACTAATCTAAGTTTAAGATAATACCAAGTATTAAAGCACTCGTGACCTTAGAGAAGTGATTTCTCATTCACATCAATACAACTCTGGGTATAAGTTTACAAAACAGTGACTCAGGGTTGATGTTTACACAGTGGTATACTTCTTACGATGTTGATATAATAATGAAGTCAAAAATACAAATATAATGTGTGGAATAATTGACATTGAATAAAATCTTTGTATTGTAGACGCTCACATTATCTTTGTATTTATGAAATGTAACTGATCTGTTGTCATGTAAGGATATTGGATATCAGTTGTCAATAAATGCATACCAAGAATATCTGAAGTAGGTGGGGGTGGGAGTATTGGGGAAATGAGATGGGGGGGTCTACATACTGTGCCTTACAAAATATGTATAAAGCAGTGTATCATTTTCTTCTTGCAAAAAAACAAGGTGACAAACAAATTACTTGGGACTCAAAGTTGGAAATTGACTTATTAAAGGACATCTATATAGCATTCGTTTGTAATTCCACTAAACAATTATTAGTAAGGGTGGAACATGGCTAATTGCCAGACATGGGTTTATTCCCAGATAAGGTAATTAAAGTCACTGCTAATGTTTAATGTTTCATTACATCAGGAGAACAATATTTTTCACTGATAGATGTTTGTACAGTAAATCATTTCACCCTGGATTCATGAGATACAGACTGAAGTGTAATCAAGTAGGCCTAAGATCGTACGCGTAAAAAATCAAAACATTGAACTGCATTTTAAAAAATGTCATTATGTTAACAATATGTCTAATTCCAGAAATTTTAGGATGACTGAAAATTTTATGTCAGGAGTGAAATGTAAAATTAATGAGGGATGTATAATACTATATCATATTATTCGTCCCTGATTTAATATTCAAAATAAAATAAACTAAATGGAAAAAGGATTGTCTTCACCTCTGCAGAGACATATTTATTATCATGATAATTTGTTGATTGCACAAAATGTCTATCTGTATGTTGTATTTTTCAAAGTTTGATAAAAAAAATACAACTAACACCAATGTGCAACCATACCCTTTTGTTCAAAATATCCCGCAAATTTTAATTTGTGACACACCCCTTCCGCAAGACAAGGGAAGCAACTCTAATTTCCGGAAGTCATATCAATATTGTGGCGGGAACGTTTACATTCACAACAACGATACTGACATGGCATCAAAACTTAAAAGCCATGTATTGTCAGCGTTCAAAATGCACGGATTTACATTACGAAGGTAAATATATCAATATGACTTCGTATGTCTTATGTTGACTCCAATATTTTCACGCATTCATTCCTGAAGGTGTTCACTTTCGATACTGTCGCTGTCAGTGTCGGCTGCCAATTTTTGTTTACATCATGATTTGGCCCTCCGGATACGCTTTCGTCTTTTTATATCTGTACAAACTGATTAAAATAATACGAAATAGGCACTGCCTAAAAACTTTGGGACCGTACTAATATTTTGAAAGAATTGTCGGGAAGAAGACTACTGGCGTATTTCTTCTCAAAAAACTCGGTTCGCGTTACGAGAATGTGTGTGACAGAATGGAAAGCGTTTCCCATGTTATTGATATCAATGATTAGTGTTTGGATATCTATAAAGTGTATATATACTTAATTTTACTGATGGATTTCTGTACGTGTGCCAAATACTCGTCCATGCAATCATTAATCCCAAGGGAAAACTTAGACGCATAATAAGATACCGTGAAGTTTTCCACCCGATCAGATTCTGGTTTACCAAGGAGAATGAAAAATAATATGTAACTTGACTGTTATATTTATTTCTAGTTAAAAAAAATTCTGTACTGCACAGCCTATACACTTAACAACAAGTAAAATTTCAGATTATTTGGACAGAGTGCTAAGTATACTGAATCAGAATTACACTGATATTCACCTCATATTTTGCACACTCATCTTTTCCACAGAGAAATGGATTCCCCGCTGATTTTTTTTTTGCTCAGCAATTTTGTACTGGAGTTTCTTTTAAACAACTTTTTTTGGTACCATACATTTGATACCTAGACCTAAAAATAGATCAAATTGATTGACAGAATGCAAAGTCAGTCATCCGGACTGGTGAAAATATTTTTCTGCCAGACCGGAAAAATATCTGCCAGACCGAAAAAGAAACACCAAAGGCCGATTCTGCTTTGCAACTGCACGGACATTCCTGAAAAGATATGTTAAGTGGTGACATTCCGATGCATGTAGCATTTTTAGGGCAACACCCCCTTGTGACTGACTAACTTCAGGTGCTGAAGGGAAGCTTGCTGGTGTGGTTTGGACTTTTCATGGTCCGTAATTGTTGAGGTGCGGAAATTGTTAGTACCTTGAACAAAAGTGCCTAATGATGCCTTTGGATCATTTTCTGGTGTCATAGCCCTACAAACTATACAGAACATTTTATTTTGTTCTGTGTCATACTATAGTCAATCTCTTTTGGTCTTCCAACTTTCTTGAAACGAGCGTGGTGGTCTTTTAGATACATATTCTTTGGCCTTTTGCTTCTTTTTCACTTTCTGTTTGTTTTCCTTTTTGGCCAGGTTTTGCATCTTCATAATATCTTAGAAACGACATAACACTTGTAATGACAATATGTTAATACATTACATGATGTTCAAAAGCCGAAATATATTGAAAATGTTTCCAATAATCGAAATTTTATTCTTGTTTTCGTTTGAGAACTTTACTAACAGCATTTACAAATCGACTATGATACAAGCAAATCGATTGGATAGGCTGGCATTGCTTAACAAATCAAAAACGTTGATACATTATGAAGTTATTATACCAGAAACTTGGCTCTTTCCCTGCTGGCCACTGATTCCACGCTGGCTACTGATTCCCTGCTGAACACTGATTCCCTGCTGATCACCGATTCCCTGCTGGCCACTAATTCCCTGCTGGGTACTGATTCCCTGCTGGGCACTGATTCCCTGCTGGACACTGATTCCCTGCTGATCACCGATTCCCTGCTGATCACCAATTCCCTGCTGGGTACTGATTCCCTGCTGGGCACTGATTCCCTGCTGGACACTGATTCCCTGCTGATCACTGATTCTTTGCTGATCACCGATTCCCTGCTGGCCACTAATTCCCTGCTGGCTACTGATTCCCTGCTGAACACTGATTCCCTGCTGATCACCGATTCCCTGCTAGCCATTAATTCCCTGCTGGGTACTGATTCCCTGCTGGCCACTAATTCCCTGCTGGGTACTGATTCCCTGCTGGGCACTGATTCCCTGCTGGACACTGATTCCCTGCTGATCACTGATTCCTTGCTGATCACCGATTCCCTGCTGGACACTAATTCCCTGCTGGGTACTGATTCCCTGCTGGCCACTAATTCCTTGCTGATCACTGATTTCCTGCTGGGCACTGATTCCCTGCTAGGCACTGATTCCCTGCTGAACACTGATTCCCTGCTGATCACCGATTCCCTGCTGATCACCGATTCCCTGCTGGCCACTGATTCCCTGCTGGTCACTAATTCCTTGCTGGCCATTGATTCCCTGCTGGGTACTGTGTAGGTGATGCCCAAGATAAGGAGATGGTTTTGACCCTGTTCACATTACACAATAGAACCTTGACAGATAATGGCATTACATAAACAAATTAGAGGAAATAGTCCTACCCAGGTGGTTGTCCATTACCATGTGACCACAGTAACGTAGTCCAGTTTGTTACTATGTAAAGTTACCACTAGTGCATAATGCCTCGTATGTAGTTCAACACTGTAACATAAGTATCATTTGGATTACACATGTATACTTCCAAATTTGTTATGAGAGCTAGTGCATAGTTCAAAGTGTTCTGACTGTTTCTCTGTGATTTTATTTTCTTTATTTTTTTACCCTGTCTTTGATGTATTCAATCACAAAAATATAAATTGATAATAGGTAGTTGGAACAATTTGGATTTAGAGACTGTGTAGTCAGAATCCTTTGGATTTAGAGACTGTGTAGTCAGAATCCTTTGGATTTAGAGACTGTGTAGTCAGAATCCTTTGGACTTGGAGACTGTGTAGTCAGAATCCTTTGGATTTAGAGACTGTGTAGTCAGAATCCTTTGGACTTGGAGACTGTGTAGTCAGAATCCTTTGGACTTGGAGACTGTGTAGTCAGAATCCTTTAGATTCAAAGACTGTGTAGTCAGAATCCTTTAGATTCAAAGACTGTGTAGTCAGAATCCTTTGGACTTAGAGACTGTGTAGTCAGAATCCTTTGGACGTAGAGACTGTGTAGTCAGAATCCTTTGGACTTGGAGACTGTGTAGTAAGGATCCTTTGGATTTAGAGACTGTGTAGTCAGAATCCTTTGGATTTAGAGACTGTGTAGTCAGAATCCTTTGGATTTAGAGACTGTGTAGTCAGAATCCTTTGGATTTAGAGACTGTGTAGTCAGAATCCTTTGGATTTAGAGACTGTGTAGTCAGAATCCTTTGGATTTAGAGACTGTGTAGTCAGAATCCTTTGGATTTAGAGACTGTGTAGTCAGAATCCTTTGGATTTAGAGACTGTGTAGTCAGAATCCTTTGGATTTAGAGACTGTGTAGTCAGAATCCTTTGGATTTAGAGACTGTGTAGTCAGAATCCTTTGGATTTAGAGACTGTGTAGTCAGAATCCTTTGGATTTAGAGACTGTGTAGTCAGAATCCTTTGGATTTAGAGACTGTGTAGTCAGAATCCTTTGGATTTAGAGACTGTGTAGTCAGAATCCTTTGGATTTAGAGACTGTGTAGTCAGAATCCTTTGGATTTAGAGACTGTGTAGTCAGAATCCTTTGGATTTAGAGACTGTGTAGTCAGAATCCTTTGGATTTAGAGACTGTGTAGTCAGAATCCTTTGGATTTAGAGACTGTAAAGTCGGTACTCTTTGGATTTAGAGACTGCATGAGTATGGTTTGTGATAAAGTTGTTTATATTGCAGTGAGTCCAGTAAGTACCTGGTAGAAGTCCTTGGTTCAGTAGAAGAAGACCAGGTGGAAGAATGTCTGAATAAAATCCTAGAAACAATACAGAAACAACCATGTAAGTCATCCTAGTGAGATGTTGGTAGATCTACATATATTGATTTATTGATTGAATTTTTCAGAGTTATAACAACTGATTAAAATATTTTTATTAACTAGTCAAAATTTTAATAAGTTTTTTAAAAAGTTTTCCATTTCAATTAAGATTTAACTTTTAAGTTCTACTTGTGATGTTTTGTGTGATTTAGAAATAACCATGAGTATGTCCACTTTTATGGATCTCAATTTGATAACAAAAGTGTATGGATGAAAACTAAGAGAGATGTGCTGGCCCAACAAACCCAGCACTAGATATAGTGGATTGTAAGTAAAGTCTGGTGAAACTTTCCAATGGTTACCCAGATACTAGATAAATGTATAGAACAGAAAAATTTTAAAAATCAGTTACAGGTTAGCACTATAACTATATTAGAATACAATCCTGTATCTCGGGTAATATTTAATGAATTATTGATTATCAACAAAATATTTTGATTAAAGGTCACCAAATGAAGAATGTATCTTCAAATTTTTCTCCATTTGTCAAAAGTTATAGGCTTTGTTTCTTCATTACAGTGTCCAGTTCACTTATAACAAAAGCCACATGCGAGTCCGCTGTCCAGGAGTGCAATGCTGAAGCAGATGATGATGGGTATGCCATCCCAGAATTATGTCTAATTATGATATAGTATTATATTGACATGTCATTATCCAGATATTTCCTTTATAAAGCTACTCCCAACACCTGTCAAAATGAAAAGGGAAAAAAACAAGACAAGAAAGAAAGAAAAAACCCGTAGATACTTTGTTCAGTTACAGTTATAAATCCTTGATATGTTATTGAAATAGACAGTCATAGATAGAGACAGAATGAAATGGGTATACTACATAAATTATTAAATATTCTGAAATGTACGTGTAGGATTTGTTGTATAAATAGTAAGATGGTGTTTTGATTTGACAGAGAAAACGTCCTGTGCGTCATTGATGCCTTCTCTGTCCCAAGACTGTCCTATGTTGCTGATCGCAAGAAATTTATACAGTAAGAATGATATTTTTCTACAAAATTTTGCAGAATGATTCACGATTGAAATTCTTCTCTTTTTTCTTTTGAAAATGAACATAACTAAATTCATGCAATGTTGAGTCATGGAAAAAAGCTAAAAATTGAGGATAAATATCAGAAGGTTTCTTATTAGGTACCAAGAAATTACATGTATTTATCTAAAGTCAACTTTTGTTCTTTTGTTCGTAAAATGATAATTTGATTGAAGTTGTGATACATTACTTGATACAGCAACAAGACATTACAGCTGGCTGGTCCTAGTCTTCATGGTACAGCGTCTGACAAAGCCACCTTATTTAGGGACAGATACACAATACTTTATCAGGTACATTGATCGTCGTAGTGGTAGTTTATATAACCATCATAATATCCATATCAGTTTTCAAAAGGCAATCATAATTATTATTGCATGGGTCATGTATCTGTAACTGATGAATAGATTCTATTGATCCTTTATTTACTCATCAAAGTTTCAGATTCCTGAGTTCAAAGACAACTCACAAACACACTTCACGCTTTCAGTTGCTAGAATCTTCATTTGAATATTGCTATCGTCATTGTTAAAAAAACAACTATGTTGTGCAATGACAACTCTGCATTAAGTTGGAGAGCTGTAAAATAATTATGGAATAAAAAAAAAATAGGGAATACATATCGTTGGTGTATTCAAGTGATGATTTTATCAAGAGTTGTCTCCCTTGGCTTGTGTTGCAGAGGACACAAAGGCATGACCTGTTTACACCGCCAGCTATAGGATCTCACGATGAAAAGTCCAAAAAGTTTAAGGTAAAATTTCATTAAATATTGCATGCTTATCAAACTGTACAGTTCAGCTGAACTTGAGTTGTAAAGCAAATCTGGTACTCCATATTTCTGTTGAGTTATCTTTAAACATTCTTACGGAGTTAAGTAGTTTGTGCGAAGAAAAACAGATTTGGTGAGTATTGCATTATAAAACAGTTAACATCAAATTCTGTACATGTTAAGCAAATGTGTTTTAATTATTTTCACTTAATACTAATTACAGTATATAACACATACTTTGGCAACTTACATCTATGTGACCAATTAATGATGAGAATTTATTCTAAGTAAATTGGTTAATAATTGTTTTCCAGCTTAAACCAATTGAGTTCTTACTTGGCAGCAACACAAAGCTAGGGGATGTAATTGTACTTGGAATGTTAACACAGCTTAAAGAGGTAAGCTTTTCGATCTTTATCTTAATTTCAAGGATGTTACTTTGTTTACAGAATCAAAGCCTTCTTTAAAAGAATCCACAAAACTAATTACCAGACAAAAATTTTTCGAATGTTAATCATTTTAACAGAATCTTCGATAGAAAATTGTTTGAATAAATCAGATTTGTATCTAAAGGATACTGTGCTGATATGGAATTACTAAATATTTTTAAATGCTGAAGGTTTTTATGTCTGTCTGTTTCTGTAGGGTAAATGGTACCTCGAGGATCTAACAGGAGCTGTAGCTTTGGACTTGTCAAAGGCTGTATCCCTTTTCTGTTTCATCAGATATATGTCAACATAGTAAAATACTAGCTTCTTGCCAGTGACTAGGTTATAGAGAGCTTCATATTAACTGGATTGTTAGAGTAGGAGTCAAGTCATCAGCATCCTCAATATTCCAGGGATTACAATCACCCCTGGAACATGTCATGGCAAAATTGAAGGTTCCATGTGCAACACCTTTTGGACAAGACAAAAAGACCAGTTTGATTCTGTGATGTACATCAAATTAATCTCATGGTTGCATAACAGTATATTGTACTGGCTTGGAAATTGGGATTAGCTCCTTTATAATCTTCAAAAGGAGCATATCAGCTTGTGATTGGTCAGCATTTTTTCTCATGGAACCAATGAAAATACTTCACTTGTGCCTTAAATTTTGTCATGACATGGTTCAGGGGTGCAGAGAGTGAAAGTGATTGTAACCCTTAGAGTATTGAGGATGAGTCAGCAGATATCACATTCAAAATGTTGACCAATTAGACACTGAATATTTTTTGAATGATTATCTACTGAGCATTTGGCAGTCATGAAATAAGAAAAGATATCATACAATAGACATACAAATGAATAAATATGGACAGAAATTATCCAATCTGCTCCGACTAATAAACTGAAAACTGATCTCACAGTAAAGATTTCAATGATAGGCCTGTATATAGACTTTTATTCTTTAACATATGTGTCAGAACTTCCACAGTGGTCTGTTTACAGAAAATTGTTTTGTCTTGGCCGAGGGTTGGTATGAAGATTCTATATTTCACATTAATGCATTTGGATTTCCTCCTCCAGAACCTGCTAAAACAACAAGGTTTGTTTTGAAATTTTGTGATAAAAATGCATTTATAAAAATTTTTAGATGAGATCTGGAAATGATTCTGACATGGTTAAGTACTGAGTTTTTAGAAATAAGTAATAAAAAGTAATTATATCTACATATATATATACATTGTAACATTTAGATGAAAAGCTTGTCAGTCCAATAGAAAATAAAATTCACAAAAATCTTATGGGAATTTACTTACTATAAGTGTATGAGAAACTTCTGTCTATAACTCTGTGATATAGCCTAGCAATGTGAATCATTATTATCAGACAAATTTTATACACGGATAAAGATACTTGTGAGCAGTAGAAATGAAGTATTTATTTTAATTGTGTATTTTTCACTTTTTCAGAAGTTATTTTGGAAATGTCAACTTTTTTGGAGGATTATCAAATACAAGTGTTAAAGGTTCAGTAAGACTTAAACACATTGAGGAGGAGAATCCTGATGCCATGTTTGTCTTCTTGTCCGATGTGTGGCTGGACCAGGTCAAGGTAAGGTGCAGCAGATGCAAAACATTAACAGACAGGTTTGATTGCACTGATGGATTTCCATTGTATAAGATCTATTGAGATCTCTGGTTAATGATAAACCTTAAACCTTTATGCTATAGTTGCCCTACAAGTTGTACCTGCTTTTCTCGTTGCATGATCATATGAGGCGACTAAACTTTGTTTGTTTTATGTTTTCAAATATCTTTCAACTTCTGAATGTTCTCCATTGATACAGCCTCAATTTTAGCCTTTAATTTTACCCTTTTGTAGAAGACTTTAGGCTCTGTCCCCTTGCCAAGACGGTAAAGTTTTCTTCAGTTCCACACTGTCACATTGAGACTTAAGGACCATATTTCAGTCTCCAAAAAAAACATGAACAGTATTTTCCAGATTATAAGCTGCACATATTTCCCATGTGAGTCTGGTGGTCAGCTTACATGTGGATGAAAAAAAATCAACATGATGAAGGGAAAAAAACAGGAAGCATACCAGTATGAGACAAAACTGAGTTTTTTACAAGTGTCTGCCTGCCACATGTTTGTAACTGAGACAGATTGTCTTGAACCTTCATTTGCAACCGTATACAGGATGATTTGAAGATTGAAATAAAAATAACATTCTAGTGGACTTAATTAATCATACATTTTACTATGAATCACAGAGATATCATCTGGACTCTCATGGTTACTTCAAAGCAATAATTGAAGTTTACAATAGCCTTTTGCATCCTGGGATTGATCGCTCGTTGGGATACAGGTCAAATTAGAACGGCCGCAATGCTTGTTTACAATATGAATGGCTGCGTGTAACTTACAAGAAGAAACAATATGGGACTATAAGAATTTAGTCAGCATGCAAAGGCCTTCATTAATGTTTAACAGGACAGACGCTGATGGAGAGATTGTTTTGTTAACTGTACGTAACATCAGGCCCAATATCAGTGTGTAGACAATCTGGGAAGGCACCCTAGCCAAACGAGTTCAATATTTGCTATTTTGTGTTTTTTGAAATCCATCAATGAAATACAGGATTGATGCATAATTCATTTGCAAGCTCTATTAAATGTTTCCCTGACGATCTTGATAAATTGCCCTCCATTGTCTGTTCTATCAACAAACTGATACTGGTGTATCAAACATTAACAATAGTGATCATCATATTACAAGAAATGGTGCAGCTTAGATGTGGATCAACTAGAAAAGTCACTACAAATTGGCCCTGCTGCTTATATACGGTAATATTTTATATTACAAATGAGTTTTTTGTCGAGACGTATGAAACATAAAGTTTGTGATGTCTCAATTCTATGTTAAGCACCTATTTATCTGTTTTGTGGGCCTTTTTCACTTGACGATGTGTCATTCTTTTGTTATAGGTCCTGGAGATGTTAAGAGTGCTCTTTACAGGGTATTCAGAATTTCCGCCAGTCTGTTTTGTCATGTGTGGAAACTTTTTGTCATCACCACATGGAGCCAAGCATGCAAAGGTGTTAAAAGGTAAACTTGCCATTGTGCTACTTAATGATAGACAAAATTGTAGCAGTATTATTAAAGCAGTTCATGGAGCAGAAGGTGTGTTTTAGAGATCTGGATCAACATACCAGTATTTATCAGAAAATATTCATGTTTTCCTCCAGGTTTTGTTATCTGCAATGTTTGTGGTTCGAAACTTTCTATTCAATTTATTGTGTCACAGTGCAGTCCTGAACTACTTGCTTTCAATTAAACATTTGTGTTACACTTGCTCATTTCACATTGAGCTGTAGTATGTAACAATGTTGAATATCTTCAGTATTCATCCTCAGAAATGTACAGAATGACTATTATCTTCTCTGAAATATCCTAGTTGTTTTTACTAAAAGTTTGTTCAACCAGAATTTCTTACAAATGTATCTGATAGTGCTGTCTTCAAGCTTATAGTACAATTTCAAAATAAATTAGTATAAAGTGCTTTCTATGTCAATATGCTGTTAAACCAGTGTTTATATGTCAGGAGTATATTACTCACCCCAAAAAAAATTATATTTTTGTAACAGAAGCATTCTCTAGTCTGACTGATTTGATCATCGAGTTCCCCAGTATTGCAGAAAACAGTAGATTTATCTTTGTACCAGGACCTCAGGATCCAGGCCCTTCATCTATTCTACCCAGGTGAGTGAATGAGATTGAAAAACCCCCTAAAATTATGATAGAAAGGCTGAGAACAGGTAAATTTCACAGGATAGAGTATTTATACATACACTAACAATCTATCATCGACAGATTGTTTTATCTGTAAACTATTCATGGATAATCAGCGTAAGAAATGGACAATTATAATATATAATCATATTTTTTCTTGCTTCTCAATTGGACACCAGTGAGCACCAGTAAACGCTTACTCCTGATCAAAAAGATATGAAGACCATGTGAGAGCTAGGTACCTATGAAAAACACAAGATTAGAAATGGTGTAGGAAACTACGTGATCATTGAAATTTTATCATTTATTTTCACAGGCCCGCCATACCAAGTTCTATTATTGAGGATGTAAAACGGAAGATTCCTTCTGCCATCTTTACCAGTAATCCATGTCGGATACAGTACTGTACTCAGCATATTGTGGTATTTCGTGAAGACATTGTCACCAAAATGTGTCGTAACTGTGTTAAATTTCCGGAGGATGGTGATGTGCCTTCACATGTAAGTTCACGTATATTGTTAATTATTACACATCATAGGAGGCATACAAGTGTAGTTCTGCAGTCACAGTTTGAATTGTATAAACTTCAAAATAAATCTTGTTTTGTTTGTAGTTATCTCCCTTCTTGACATATCTATAAAACATATGTATTGCTGTTGCAGTTCGCCAAGACCCTTATATCTCAGGGCCACTTGTGTCCCCTCCCCCTGCACGTTTGTCCTGTGTACTGGTCACATGATGTGGGGCTACGACTTTATCCTCTTCCTGACCTTGTGGTGTGTGCGGACAAATTTGATCCCTTCCACGAAACTTCTGTTGATTGTACTGTAATGAATCCGGTAAGTCAATTATGTATTGTTTACCAGTCAAGTAAGAGGGTGTGTATTTTCTTCTTGAATCTGAGTGTGTGGGGAACACAAAATGGAAAAATAAAATCTCTTGCATAGACTTTGATAAGGGTTCCTTAGTACTGTGGTGTCTGGCTTGGAACCTGACAATGTTTCCTCTTTCCCTGTCAGATGAAATATAGTATGCAGTAATGATTGAAACAATTGTAAAGCTTCACAAAGACTTGGTGAGGAATGTTTTTAGCAAAACACCAACATTTTCAATGTGATTAACATGTGATCATAGTTAAAATCCTGTATAAGACACTCAAATTTTTAAAATTCTCTAAATGGTTTTTGAGAATCCCAACTAGAACCATTCAGTTTTAGTTTTGAAATTTCAATTGTTTTTTAAATGATGCTTAAATTACATGATAGTGAATTTTGAATATTGTTCCAGGCCAGGGATTTTTACCTCTTTTGTGAACATTATTTTTTCAAATCAAATTGTTTTTTAAATGATGCTTAAATTACATGATAAAAAAAATGTTTCTTAATTAATGTAGCACAGTATCAACAACATGTGCAATGTATCCAACAAAGGCTGAGTACAAGTGTCTTAACTGTATCATCCTGAGTTAGACTGAAACATTCTTTAATTCTTGAATGGCTTTTGCAGACAGGGACATCATCTATGGAAGTTTGTTTCCTTTATAATAAATTTTTAACATGCTATAATTATTAGCTCTGTGGTCTTCCTGTGTAACAGAGGCAGTTATTATCTTGGTGCCTTCACTAGGGATCAAACCTTGGTACTCCTGTGTAACAGAGGGCGTTATTATCTCGGTGCCTTCACTAGGGATCAAACCTTGGTACTCATGTGTAACAGGCCGTTATTATCTCATTGTCTTCACTAGGGATCAAACCTTGGTACTCCTGTGTAACAGGTCATTATTACCTCATTGCCTTCACTAGGGATCAAACCTTGGTACTCCTGTGTAACAGAGGCTGTTATTATCTCATTGCCTTCACTAGGGATCAAACCTTGGTACTCCTGTGTAACAGGTCATTATTATCTCATTGCCTTCACTAAGGACAGTACTCCTGTGTAACAGGCGTTATCTCATTGCCTTCACTAGGGATCAAACCTTGTACTCCTGTTATTATTATCTCATTGAGGATCAAACCTTGGTACTCCTGTGTAACAGAGGCTGTTATTATCTCATTGCCTTCACTAAGGATCAAACCTTGGTACTCCTGTGTGCTGTTATTATCTCAACAGGATCAAACCTTGGTACTCCTGTGTGTTATTATCTCATTGCCTTCACTAAGGATCAAACCTTGGTACTCCTGTGTAACAGAGGCTGTTATTATCTCATTGCCTTCACTAAGGATCAAACCTTGGTACTCCTGTGTAACAGAGGCTGTTATTATCTCATTGCCTTCACTAAGGATCAAACCTTGGTACTCCTGTGTATTATCTCATTGCCTTCACTAAGGATCAAACCTTGGTACTCCTGTGTAACAGAGGCTGTTATTATCTCATTGCCTTCACTAAGGATCAAACCTTGGTACTCCTGTGTAACAGAGGCTGTTATTATCTCATTGCCTTCACTAAGGATCAAACCTTGGTACTCCTGTGTAACATTGCCTTCACTAAGGATCAAACCTTGGTACTCCTGTGTAACAGAGGGCATTGATCATTGCCTTCACTAGGGATCAAACCTTGGTACTCCTGTGTAACAGGTCATTATTATCTCATTGCCTTCACTAGGGATCAAACCTTGGTACTCTTGTGTAACAGGCCGTTATTATCTCATTGCCTTCACTAAGGATCAAACCTTGGTACTCCTGTGTAACAGAGGCTGTTATTATCTCATTGCCTTCACTAAGGATCAAACCTTGGTACTCCTGTGTAACAGAGGCTGTTATTATCTCATTGCCTTCACTAAGGATCAAACCTTGGTACTCCTGTGTCAACAGACCTTGGTACTCCTGTGGCTGTTATTATCTCATTGCCTTCACTAAGGATCAAACCTTGGTACTCCTGTGTAACAGAGGCTGTTATTATCTCATTGCCTTCACTAAGGATCAAACCTTGGTACTCCTGTGTAACAGAGGCTGTTATTATCTCATTGCCTTCACTAAGGATCAAACCTTGGTACTCCTGTGTAACAGAGGCTGTTATTATCTCATTGCCTTCACTAAGGATCAAACCTTGGTACTCCTGTGTAACAGAGGCTGTTATTATCTCATTGCCTTCACTAAGGATCAAACCTTGGTACTCCTGTGTAACAGAGGCTGTTATTATCTCATTGCCTTCACTAAGGATCAAACCTTGGTACTCCTGTGTAACAGAGGGCGTTATTATCTCGGTGCCTTCACTAGGGATCAAACCTTGGTACTCCTGTGTAACAGAGGCTGTTATGATCTCATTGTCTTCACTAAGGATCAAACCTTGGTACTCCTGTGTAACAGAGGCTGTTATTATCTCATTGCCTTCACTAAGGATCAAACCTTGGTACTCCTGTGTAACAGAGGCTGTTATTATCTCATTGCCTTCACTAAGGATCAAACCTTGGTACTCCTGTGTAACAGAGGGCGTTATTATCTCATTGCCTTCACTAAGGATCAAACCTTGGTACTCCTGTGTAACAGAGGCTGTTATTATCTCATTGCCTTCACTAAGGATCAAACCTTGGTACTCCTGTGTAACAGAGGCTGTTATTGCCTTCTCAAACCATTGCCTTCACTAAGGATCAAACCTTGGTACTCCTGTGTAACAGAGGCTGTTATTATCTCATTGCCTTCACTAAGGATCAAACCTTGGTACTCCTGTGTAACAGAGGCTGTTATTATCTCATTGCCTTCACTAAGGATCAAACCTTGGTACTCCTGTGTAACAGAGGCTGTTATTATCTCATTGCCTTCACTAAGGATCAAACCTTGGTACTCCTGTGTAACAGAGGGCGTTATTATCTCGGTGCCTTCACTAGGGATCAAACCTTGGTACTCCTGTGTAACAGAGGGCGTTATTATCTCATTGCCTTCACTAGGGATCAAACCTTGGTACTCCTGTGTAACAGAGGCTGTTATTATCTCATTGCCTTCACTAAGGATCAAACCTTGGTACTCCTGTGTAACAGAGGGCGTTATTATCTCATTGCCTTCACTAAGGATCAAATGTGTATCTCTGTGTAACAAACCTTGGGCTGTTATTATCTCGGTGCCTTCACTTGGGATCAAACCTTGGTACTCGTGTGTAACAGATGTACAGTCAAACTTGTCTACCAAGAACTGTCATGGGACTTAATCTTTGTTTTATTTTTTATTACTGAAGTAAATGTATGTACATAAAAACATTATATAACATTCCAAATAGATTCTTTTTATCAGAATAAAATACGTTTTAAATGTACCCTGAGTGTATTGCTATATTTAGCTATAAATACTTCATATTATATAATAAAATAAATACAAGAAAGTGAGAGCATTATAGTTAAGTTTCAGTTCTGATATATTGAAATTTATCTGAGACACACATCTTTGACTAAATGGAGATTGCCTTGATTTTGGTAGCCGACATCTGTGATGTCACAAGTTCGACACTGTCGAAACAGCCTTATAGAAGTATACCAGGTAGCTTCCATCTTGTGTTTGATAAGCAAGCTTTTAAGCTGCTTATGTGTTATATTCTATTGACACTTACTTAGCTACATACATATAGAAAGGACTTTTTTACAGTTTCAGCTAAGACAAACAGTGCACTGTATGTGGGTGTCTGAACACACATGCAGTTGTATTTTCATAATTTGTGAATCTTGTGACTGCAAATATTATACTTTATTATTATACGATTTAATCTCTTGAAATTATGATGAATGCTTAATTCATACAACTCAAACCGTCAAAGGATTAAAAATTCAGTCAAATTAACAAAAGGGCAGCCACACCCCCAGTTTCTTCCCAAATAGGACATACTATTAGAACAAATACAACAGTACAAAAATTTTGATGCAGTCTTTAACGGTTTTTATTTTGGATCACAAAAGATATTTATATATTCATTTCTATTTTCACTTGGGGTACGCTTTAAGTTCATACAAAAAATACAGTTTTTCATCAAACATGATAAATGAAAAAAATGTACAAATTATTTCATCTTCTCTTATATGCTATTTGTAAAACAAACATTTAAAATATTGCAATTAAAAGGAATATCATATAAAGAATCACAGTACAATCTCTTGATCTGAGAATTTACATTTGATTCATTAACATTTGGTTTTGTTATGATGTATTAGAGGTCATTTTTCATCTCAATGCCTCCGCTAGGAATCGAACCCGGGACCCCTGGCGTACTAGTCTGACGCTCAACCAATCAAGCTAATGAGAAGTTCTCTCTAGCCGAATGGTATATTGCGGCTAGTATTTTACCAGGGTTACATACTCCCCCTCCAGGAAATAACTCGTCCTCGAGTTTCCAGGGGTTACAGCGATGCTGATGGGGCATGGCTAAGTACTATTCCCGGGTCCCTACATGGGCGCCAATGTAACAGAGGTCATTTTTCATCTCAATGCCTCCGCTAGGAATTGAACCCGGGACCCCTGGCGTACTAGTCTGACGCTCAGCCAATCAAGCTAAAGAGAAGTTCTCTCTAGCCGAATGGTATATTGCGGCTAGTATTTTACCAGGGTTACAATGATAAATAACCCAGAATGCAACACCTTAGGAAAAAGGAACTAGTTAATGGGAGATGACTTATTGAATTAAACAAATTTTCCAATGGTGTTTGTCAGCTGTTAACAAACACCAGACATATCTGTGACTGCAAATCCATGCCAGTCGCTGCATTAAATAGGTGTTGATTACATAAAAGAGTCAAGTGAAATACATTCTGGGGACCTAAAACTGTTTGTTGTAGGAAGGTGTTCATTGTAAATAAAAAGGTGTCTGTTCAAGCAGGTTTGACTGGAGTTATTTTCTCAGTGCCTTCACTTTGGATCAAACCTGGGACCTTTGGTGTACAAGTCTTATGCTCATACAATCAAAGTTCTTACTAGCTGAGAAATATATTGCAGCAACTAGGATTACACATGTCTAGTAATCACTGACTTTGTGAATTATAACTGGGTTAAGTGCTGCTTTGTGAATCATAACTGGGTTAAGTGCTGCTTTGTGAATCATAACTGGGTTAAGTGCTGCTTTGTGA